AAAAAAAAAAAAGAAAGGAGAAAAAAAAAAAGAAAAAAAAACAAACGCTATCTTCTAAATATTTCAGGCTTCAGAAAGCTGTTTCCTGGCCAGCGTGAGGAAGTGCCAGAGCCAGGGTGGATGGATGAAGGTCACCGGCCGGCCGGGGCCGGGATGCGGGAGGCACCGACCCCCCCGTCCCCGCTGCCAGCCCCAGCGGTGCCCGCCGGGCAGCTGGAGCCCGGACAAGCCCTGCCTTGTGTGCCCGCTCCTGGGAAGGGGGAAACCATCCACGGAAGTGAAACGGAGACTTTGTGTTATTTGGGCACAAAGAAAAGCCCGGGGAAGCTCAGGGAGGAAGGGTTGTGAGATCCCCTCCCTGCCCCGTGATGTCCACGAGTCCAGCAGAGCCTCAAATCTCGCTTTTTCCCTTGTATTTTAGCACATGACGCTCTAGAATTGAGTATCTTTGCACTTAATTTAATTACGAGAGCTGCCCAAGTGAATCTCTTTGCCAGAGGTTCATAGTGAACCAACCCGGAGCTGGAAACCCCCCCAGGGGAGGCACAGGCTGAGCCCCCACGGGATGCTCGCTGCTCTCCGCTGCCTCTTCACCCCAGCAATATTTTTTCCACATTCAGCTTTTTTGGTCACTGGCTTAAAGGATTTGGCATTTCCAGAAGGACTGAGACTTCCAACGGTCTGCTCTCTTCTGACACAGGGAGATTTTTGGGGTACAGGGGCCAGATTTTGGGGGGAGAAGAGCTTCTGCACTCCTCTTGATAAAACTTGCCATGCAACCACCTTCCCAGCTATCCGTGGAGCAAATGGGATGGGCAGGAGGGGCTGCTGGTGGCAGACCCCCCCACCCTGGGTATGGCACCGTGTCCCTGGGCTGTTTTCACCCCTCTCCAGTCCCACCACCCCTCCCATTGGGGTCCATGGGGGCGCGGGGTCCTCACCTGCTCTGCTCCGGGGGCTGGTCCTGACACCCGGGGAGGGACGCGGGGCTCAGGGGACCACGGGCGCTCCTCGACCCTGGAAGAAAGGGAAACCCTTTGGTTACAGCAGCCCCCTTGCCTCCTGCCCCACACCGCTGCCGGGCACGAAGCCTGGAACCTCAGCTTCACCAAAAAGCCACTCCAGAAACACCGGGTGCCATCACGCACTGGGGCACAGCCACAGGCAGCTAATTCCTAACGATATTTGCATTAACATCAGTCCCCCCCTCACCCCCCCCAGGGCTCTTATTGCCCTACACGGTGACACTGCTGCTTGTCCCAGCTGGGAGCAGGGATTTTATAGCAGGGGCTGAGCCATCCCTTTTTCCTGGTGGGAATGCCAAGCCCCAGAGCACCCCGTGCAGAGGCTCTGGGTGCTGGCAAGTGGCACGGGGATGGCCCCAGCCCACCTGTAGCCCCCCCCCCCAACAATGCACCAC